CGACGCACCTTCGGCCGGGCCCTGAGGAAGAGCACGGCGAGGCAGGCGGAAGCGAGACACGCGAAGACCAACGGCGGCCACAGCCCCAACAGCCACAGCACGGGTGAAAGCAAGGCGACGAGGATGCCCAGCAGGGTGAGCCAGGCCAAGGCCCCTTGGATTCGATCTGCGTGCTCCTCCAACATCGTCGCCATTACCCTCTCTATTCCAGCACGCTCGTGTTCTAGTACTTTAATTTCCCTTTCCTGCTCAAGCACTCAAGGACGAACTCAGCGATCTTTAATTCCTACGAGCAGAGAGGCAAAATAATATTGGTATCAATTTATAGCAAAGTCTTCGCAGTTAGAACTAATACCTATCATTTATCTAATGTACCAAGGCATCCCTCATCCCATCCCTACTCAGCTATAACAGACCCATAACATATGATACAATCATAAGGCTGACATATCAAGGGAACCATGGAGTGCATTTTGACAAAGAAAAGCACCTTTGAAATGGCACTCTTAGGGATATACCTGGAAGCATGCCAGTGACAGCCTTTCAGCCACTGGGATATAGGGCACAAAAGTCCCCTTATGGAGGGGGGGAATGCTGGATGCAGGAAACTTCTTTCCTATTTGAGACTTTGCTTTTACTTCTGTGTACTTTTTTACTTCTTTTACTTCTACGAGCTTCCTCCATCCATTCGGCAGTTTCTTTGCAAGCATGATGAAGGAAGCCCCCTACCATTCATGCTGATCTTGGAGGGGGGTGGGGCTGGAAATTGATGGACAGATGGAGTGGCAAAAATTTGTAGGGATAGACCTCTGTGAATGGGTCTCTGGTATTCTAGCATCAACAGAAGACCTAATACTGAGTATAATACTTTGTATTGCTTTCAATTGGCTGAGGTATGCTCAGGAGAAATATTTGAAAGACACGAATGGTGAAAAATACCTAGAACAATTAGTTAAAACCATATGTATATGTGACACACTATAACAATATTTCAAAACTTATAAATAAATAAAAATATACCTTGGTACTACACACAATGGGATCATCAGAGAAAACAAACAATGTGGTCACCTAACCCATCAACACAAGTCATGTTATGGTCACACTAACAGCTAGCAAGTTGACTCACCTAAGCATTTGTAGCTCATCTACTCAACCTTAGATATGTTAAAAGAAAACACAACATGAATTCTTCCAGAACCTTAATCAACTACATGAAGGCACTGAAGGTGAATTGCACCTACTTCCCACCGTGATGATCTGATTCTCGTGTCATCAAACGATCAAAGCATCTCGTGGAAAATAGGTAGGAACGATGATGCTCTCAGAATGTCAAGGTCGTTTTGCATCGTCCTTGCATGGAGGCAGAAATCAATAGGACGGGGAATGTAGGTCTCTCGAGGAAGCGAAACATGGGGCAAGGGATCGTTGCGGGCCACGAATCGGTGGGAAGGCATGTGCACAAAATGCCGGTTTCAATCGAGTGCAGCTTGCAGGAAGAGATGTGCCAAGATATTTTCTTTCCATCTTCAATGTTCAGAAATTAACATAGGCAAAATTTGCAGTACCATAAGCCAAGCTGCTGTGGCTTTCATTCCCATTCATGGACATTGTAAAAAGAGGCATAAAAATGCCAGCAAGAAAAAGAAACATAGGTCTGGATGCAAGTAATGAGAAGGGACATGAGGAAATGAAGTCTTACTTCGGCTTATTTTGGGGAAAAGAGTAGGGGATAAGTCACAGAGATATCCATTTACTTCTGTGCAAGCTCATGCTGATATTCTCATAATTTGCTTCTCTGAATAACTGTGAAGGAAACAGAAGCCTGATCTCATTGGATTAATTTAATTTCAAAAAGAAAACTACATGTTTAGATTAATTACTTTTCATTCACAATGATCTTATATAAGTTATACACAGTTTCAGATTGCTCCATTCCTCATACACAGGTAAAACCATTGACAACTAAGGTGCTTGAGCCATTTGAAGATGTGCTGCAATGAAGCCGCACTTTCTTCCCAACTTCATGCTCGGTCCACCGAGGACCAAGCACGAAGAAATTGGCTAGGGTGAAACTAGGTCTGGTAGGCCTAGGCCTTGTCCTTCCTCAAACAAATCATGAGTGAGAAAAATCCCTGTCTCTTAGGATCCTGGGAAGCACATTCAATCCGTCACAGGCCAGCAGTTAGCCTAGAGCCTGGAATTCCTGCCCTCACAGATCTTTTTAGTCCAACACGAGCTGCACTCGCTTGTAAGTTATTCCAGGCCTAAGCAGCAAATCAACGTTCTTATTACGGTTACGTTCCAACTATAGGCCTAGATTTTCAATAGGATCTACTTTCTCCTGCCGCCAACTGTAGACTTAGTGCCGACCTCCACGCATATCGTAGAAACTTGATGCAGGCTCTACGCCAATAGCATCGAAAGAGAAAGGCGGATAACGAAAAATACTTCAACTGCACCGTGCACATACATTGAACCGGCACAACGCACTCATCCCTTTCCTATGGGCCGCGGCGGCTGCCATAACAGGCCTCCCCCCCCCCCCCTTCCCTTCCTCATAATAGAGTCCTCCACGGGCTCGCTTTTTCGGGCTCGATTCGGGTCCCGTCCCGCAGGTGATAAGAAATATGAATGCTTTCCATGCTTCACGCCCGTAACGGAAATAAATAAATATTCCGCAGATAATTCCATGTCATGCCTGTGCTGACACCATTTGTGCCTTAGATCTTCTCCCTGGCTATCGAAGCGGAATATCGTGCAGATGCTAAGCCAGGCTTCATTCCGTTCCAATGCAGCAGCGACAAGAAAATGATGCCAGCAGAGCGGCTTCTTGACGAAAAACGTAGCAAAAATTTCTCAGCCTTACAGCCCCGGTGTGATCCAGCCAGACTCAATCAGAGAAGATACATCTGGCACTTCTGCCACAAGAGGAGATTCGCATCCGTCAGGAATCCAAGTAGGGTCGTTCCCTCGGGCAGATATTAGTATATGTGACAGACGTTTCTTCGACCGTCTCGTGCAACTGCTTTTTGCCTCTACGGAACCAGTCGGTACCGTTCTAGACTCTTGCTTTGCATGTGGTTCTGAAAGTTCCTTTTATCTCCCCTGTCAGGCACCCATGACCTGGCCTCATCAACTCATACGCATAGGTGAAAAAAAAAAATCTTAAAGCCACGATGTGTTAGGAATCCACCAGGTATCCCCGACGACCCTGCTCCCGTCGACCCACTGAGCCCAAACGCAAATCGAAACTGAACGGGCAGAAACGTCGGACTGGGACGAGGAGCGGCTGCAGCTGCTCTTTTCCCTCACCTCCCCATCCCGCTCCCTTAGCCTTCTCCCACCTTCCCGTCCCTCGGAGGGGAAAGAGATCGCTCGAGGGCGAACGGAAGGGAGGCGATCGGGGGAATGAGATCAAGTTCTATTCGTATCCGTGTTGGCTTGCTTTCCCATTCAGGAAGAAAGAGGCAGCACGTGGTATCGTCCGCGATGGTGGATGAAAGGAACTTTCACATGGATTATTTTTCACATGGAATATTTTTTACATGGAAACATTTATTTATCCATCACTCGATCTCTCTATACGTTTTCACTGATTCAAGAGGTTCTTTAAGTACATCAAAATGAGTAAATGATTTGGATTCAGGTCCACAATTTTTTTTCCGGCTGTAAATGTTGCTAAAGCCAAAGTTCTCGAACTCGACAGAAACGATCACGGAAGCGCGATGTTTTCCTTTCAAATTTCGTTTTTGAAGATCGAACAGCTGTATCTCCCGGAGCGGCGAAGATCTCAAATAAATATTTACTAATTACTTACATAGACATTAAATACATATTGTCATTTATCTTACATACACATACTGTCCGTGAGATCAGAGACGGAGTTTCTCGTAGATGATTTCGAAGACGAGTTCGGGGAGATGCGTGGCGACGAAGAAGCGGATCCGGGAGTAGAGAGGGTTCGCCTGGTAGCGGGGCAGGGGGTGAGTGTCTGTCAATGCCGACGTCATCGCTCGGATCACCGGACTGCTGTCCTTCATCTGCATCCAGAAAATGTCAAATATGACAATACGACGAAGCAGTTGTATCCCAGGCACCAGAGACAGGTGGTTACAAGAATATAATTTTTTTTTTTTCTCCAAGCGGTGCCAAAAACAGTTTCTTTTTTCTCCACTTTGGAAACATACCAACGCCTACATGCTAAAAACTGTTTTCTGCAATTTCTTGAAATCAACCGACTTTAAATATATATAATTTCATTTTCTCCCTCGTTCCTTTCCTCCTAGCGAGAGAATCAAGATGCCCTACCCCCAATCGACAGAAGTACAACTGGAGCTGGATGGTCCGATCGAAGTCCTCCTTCCCGTAATCCGACTTCACTTCTGCGTCCATCCCGTCCCACATCTCCTCAGCGAGTTTCATCACCTGCTCCTCCGACAGGATCTTCGTGGCTGTTAGAAGCAAATTCAATTCGAACCGGGATTATTAGTAATGCAAGATGTTGACAATGATGTTAACGGTGGAACGAGGCGAATCATCTTGAATTCCTCTCCGAGTCATTTTCTCTTATCTTACGTGTAGCTTGTCCGCATGGGGAATTATTTAAAACTTCCCATTCACTCCTGTAAACTGCAGAAAAAATTCCGGTCAGCCATGTGATATTTTCTTTCTTCTAAAAGTCATTTTAATTCGTGGTATTCTTTGCTGACTGTGCTAGGTCTTAGCTGAAAATTTCGGGTTTAATATTTCACTGAGCGACTAAAAATCCCTCTCATTCCATTTCCGAGGGATTTCCCCTGCAGTACCAGCGGAGAAGTTGCCAGGTTCGATGATGCAGACATGCACGCCGAACCTCCTCATCTCGTGGCGGAGGCAGTCGGACAAGCCCTCGAGGCCGTGCTTGGTCAGGGCGTAAGCTCCGCCTTGGGCCGCTCCCATGCGGCCCAACACACTCGCCACGTTCACCACCCGACCTGTAATGAGAAAGATACACACGAGGCTGGTAATTTTGGAAGTATTTTAAAAGTAACATTCAGGAACGAGAACTTTCAAGAAACGTTAAAAATATATAGGACTTCAGCTTAGATAGTTTTGAAATGAACTTCAACAATTTTAGGTCGGGCATGGAAGTATCTGGTAGGAAAGAGAGAAAAATCTGGGAAAAGACAGGGTCGCAAAAAGTTGCGAAGGGAATTCTACAATAGAAAATTTCCTATGGAGGGTTAGTCCTACTCCAATATAAGGAGGACCTTTCTCATATCCAGGATTGAAAAGTTCCGCGTTGAAGGAAATCTATCAACCATCAATATTACCTCTTGCTTCCGATTTTCTCTTGTTTCTCTTAAGATGGAGTTGAAAGTGAACCTTTCGTTCGACGGACGAGGGGAAGGAACGCCTTGATGACCCTGACCGTGCCCCAGAGGTTCACCTCGGCCAACCACTTGAAGGTGTCCAAAGATGTCCATTCCACCTTCCCGTAACTGAATACTCCGGCGTTGTTGACGATCCCCCAGAGTCCTAGGGACGGCAAATTCTTCTTGACGTAGGCCAGGGTCTTCCTGAGGTCGTCGTCGTTGGTGACATCCAGTTGCAGGACGTGGATTCCCTCAACTCGGGACAATTCCTTGCTGCCTTCCCCACCCTTGTTCTTTAAGAGACAGCCAGCGAACACCACGAAACCCTGTCGACGAAAATCACGCCATCGTCTTAGAAATCCTGCTTATAGGCCCCCCTTGCACAGAGGAAACTGGAATTGCGTTTTGGTGCATGACAAAAGAGACTATCTACCGTCAAGTCCTTATTATCCGGACTTCAGGGATCAAAGAATTCATAGGTATTAATCGCCCGTTTGGATTATGTTAGACGTTCCCTTGCGCAAAGTTAGAAATGAGTCGGCTGTTTACCTGCTTGCCGTATTAAAATCTTGATGAATAATGGTGAGACTTCCAGCAGAATTCTTAATATTATCAGGAAAGTGTGTGAAGATAATGTTGTTGTGTTACCGGAATATTTCCGAGTGTGGTCCTAATTTTCCATTCTCGAGAAGATTCAATCAGGAGGTGCGATAGCAGAGAGCCTCCAAGAAAAGAAAAGAAAGAAAGAAAGGGTAAAAATTACGCTGACTTTCCTTACGGAAGTTAAAATACCCGAGAAGAAAAAACTTTTTCTACTTTGATAAAGAGTTCTGAAATAATGATGGAAATCAGGAGCTTCCAAAGTCAGGTTTCATACCAAGGAATGAAGATGTAGGGCAAGGGAATGACCGAAACCAGAGTCGCAGCCAGTTATTAGCACTCCTCTTCCATCTGGTGATATCTGGAATTTTCAAGGTAAACTTAATAGCGCACACCTTGTTCCGTAACGAGTGTCCTGAGGGGACAGTGGCCCTCGTAGAGAGGAGGCACGTCGAAAAGACGCACCTTTCGTCGGGCCCTTAGTAAGACAATAGCGAGGCAGACGGAGGCGAGACAGACGAAGGCCCAAGGCGGCCACACCCCCAACAGCCACAGCACGGGTGAAAGGAAAGCGACGAAGATGCCCAGCAGGGTTAGCCAAGCCAGGGCTACCTGGATTCGGTCTGCGTGCTCTTCCAAGACGGTCGCCATATCCTTCTCCACTCCAACACAGTCGTATTCTGGTACTTTAATTTCCCTCTAAAGCTCGAGCACTCGAGGTCGAATTCATAGGGATCTTGATTCTAAAAGGAGCAGAGGGGCCAAATAAATTAAGAAAATAGCTGCTATACTCACAACTTTCACTGTGGGATATTAAAGAAAAAAGTTCGCCCCGGGGCCAACACCCTATAGGAGTGCGTATAATGAAGCACGGATGAACTTGAAACTCCTGAAATGTCAAAGTTTCCGTGAGTTAGAATGAGCACATCCTTTGTCTATAACTTGCTAATGTGCAAAGGCTTCTGCCATCCCTATATAGTAGAACATGAACCTGTTAGGTAACCCATAATATCGATCATTTAAAGGATATCAAGAAGTACAGTACATTCTTGCAACAACAACAAAAATGTTCATCGACCAGGAAAATGCTAGAAGCAAGCAATTCAGTGCTGCAATGGTAACAGATTTCCTGTCGTGGAGGTATATGGTACAATCATCCCCGTAGGAACTGCTGGATGTAGGAACTTGCCATCTACCTGAGACTTTGATTTTCATGCATCCTCTCAACCAAATCTGTAATGCAGTATCATACGTTAATGAAGGAAGAAGGATTCATTCGTGCCGATCTTAGAGGATGGGGGCACTGCATGACAGACTCGAAGGATGGCAAGGCATGCAGCGATGGGCCTCTGTGAATGGGTCTCTTCCTCGGTGACATCAATGGGAGACGTAATGATGGGGAATTGAATTAATTCATTTTTCACTTCCTCAACCCAAGGATGCATGACATGAGTCGATGGCGTTCAACGCAAAAAGTGATTAGAATATGCAATTTTTAAAATCCATATTCATGTTTCTCATACGGACATTTCCTAAATAAATAGAAGAGAGATAAATTGAGATCCTATATTCTATATCGGGCCTTGGGAGGGCAGGAGAATATTTTATTCATTGTCATCTTACTCCGTCATTTTTTTTTTTTTTTTTAAATGACCTCTTCGTTCCCTTCGGCAAAAATGAGTGGAATATATAATCTCTTGCTTAAAAAATTTGGATTACCATCATATCTTGTTCAAAATTTTCGAAAAATGTTACGCCTTAGAACCTCTTCGGCATTTCTTTGTGCAAATGGTGTACAATGAATAAGATCTTCGCAAGGAGCGCCGCCAAGATCATGTGGATCATTATCATCAGCTGATAAGTGGAACTTTGCCTTGGAAGTAGCCTAATTGCACCAATAGAGATATCCAGGCTGAGATATAATCACAGCTGCCACTTTCTGATCCTCTGAAGGATTCCTAGCACTGTCGCGAATTTCCTCACTTGACCTTGAAGATCGGTCAAGGTTGATCCGCCTCGTCTGACGAACTGCCTTTCTTGAACCGTATTTCCTTGCAGAAAACCGCTGAGCAGCTTGGAGTGCTTGCTCCATGAGCAGCAGCACGCAGCAGCACGCAGCAGCACAATTTCACGTAATCTCTGATAGCACTCAACATTTTTACGTTCGTCTTTATCGGATACCCAGCTCATTTTGATCAGGGAAGTCAAAGAGTTCATTTTAAAAATCCCAAAATTTTCGGGAAAGAAGCCAAGTAAAATAAAAAATATTGTCCCCTGCATACCCAAGAAACCAATGCAGGATCCCCTTCCCAAAATTGGCATATACAGGCCAGGAAGTTACCACGCAATTAAATCAAGCATCCTATGCTGAAAGTCCTTACGACAAATCGGCAGGTTGGTTGAAAATTCCTCGGTCATTTTACACAATCCTGCATAATGGCTGGTATAAAATTAATGGAGACGAGTATTTTTTTCTGGGAATTGATGAGTGAGTAATAACGAGTAATAAAGCATCGTGCAATTATTTGACACCAATGACTGGTAAAACAAAAAGGCCAACGTAGAAAACAATCATTTTAATGGACTTCATTTCCAAGCAGAAACATATCAGGATACAGAAATGAAAATATCGAAGCTCTCACACCTTCGATTCATGCATGCAAGCATTACAATCAAGTGCATAAATGATACAATGGACAGTACTAAAAAAAAAAAAGAGACACAAAGTTCAACACGTGATTATGAGCAAAGACATGTAGGAACGAAAGGCTATCTTAAGCATAGAGAGGATTGGTCAGATGTCCATTTACCTATTTGCATGCTTCAACTGGTGCTCCAGTCATTCGGACCTTTCAAGAAACTGCATATCGTGCCGACAATTCCTCATTTGCCTATGGCAGGCTAGGCAGAGGCATAATACCTGTTTTTGTCGAGGGAATGAAATAGGTTTTCTTTTTTCCGTATCGAGTCGGTTTCATGAAAACGCGTCGATGAAAGTCCAAGACCGAGCGCTTTTTGTCGCGCGAAGGTCTTCCGTGGAGTTCGACTCAGATTTCGGGCGACTGCATTCCTGACGCATTCCTGACACTGAGGCGTCAGGAATGCTGTCGCCCGAAAGAACCATCGAAAAGCGGAGCCAGAGTCCCCTGAGAAACGGCAGTCGGGCTCATTGGACCAAAGACGGCGTAAAGTGAGAAACTAGGCGGTAATTTGCTTTGACAGAGAATAGACCTGATAGGCCTAGAACGAAGCCTTTCTCGAGGCTTTCAGGAAAAAGATATGCTGCTTTGGTTGATGTCCGACACGCTTCATGATGCCCATGTCAAGGCCTAGGCTTATACCTGGAATCCAAGCCTTTGCGGATTTCCTCGTCTCACGCGAGTGGTGCTCACCTGGAAATCGTCCTAGGCCTAAGCAGCCGGTCAATCATCTTCAAATTTGGGCGAAATTCTGACTGCAGACTTGGATCTACGAAATAATGCACCTCATCCTGTAGCCAACTGTGACCTGATGTGACCTTGCCCTTACTGGGAACTACACGAGGACCTACTCCAATAGCATCGAAATAGAAAATAACCCCGGTGGCCCAAGACATCGGACGCACATCCGCCATACGGCAATCGGATGTGGGAATATACTGCGGGCGTACTTCGGATGTCTTGTGCCCTTAGGGGAGTAAACATATGGCTTTAAGGGCACCGCGTAGATCGTCTTCTCTGGGCTGCGGGGGCTGCCATATAAGGCTTCTCAGAGAACTAGAGTCCTGCACGGGCTCGCTTTGAGGACCCGCGCCCGATTAATGTCTTGTCCCGCATCCGAGGGGAAATTTGAACGGCTTGCCAACCTTGAGGCTCGTTCAGGGAAAAAAGTAACTGAGCCCATTGAGGCTGCATAAGAAAAAAAAAAACTTTTTCTCGCGTTTCAACCCTGGTGTGATCCAGCCAGACCCAATCAAAGAAGATACCTCAGGCAGTTCTGCCATAAGAGGGGTTTCGGATTCGTCCGCAAAACCTGTAGAGTCTAAGGCAGTTACTTTGGGGAAGCTATCAGTATAAGGCATGTGACAGATGTTCTCTCACATGCCTGATACTGATTGATGACCGTCGCGTGCAGCTGATTTTAACCAATTTAGAGCCAATTGATAGCTTCCTAGACTTCCGAATTGCATGCGGCTCTTAACGTTAGGTTTCTCCTCTATTATAAACACATGACCTGCCTGAAGCAACTTATGCGTGTCGGTACGAATTGCCTCGGACATGATGCCCCTGCCACCACCAAAAACAAGAATATCTAACGACCATGCTCCTGCCGACCCACTGAGCACCGACCTCGCGAAAACCGAAACTGAACGGGCTCTCACTTCGGACCGACGACGAGGATCCGCGACAATGCCCATCCGAGGCGACGCGATCCTCCTTTCGCTTTCCTGTCTCTCGGAGGGAAAACACGGAAAGGGAGAGATAGAGGAATCGCTTGAAGGGAGCCGACAGGGATCCAATTCCTTTCTCAGCGGTGATGGAGCAGCTCCTGGCACCGTTCATGACAGTGGATGGAAGGAATGACCTCCTTTGATTTTCATATCAATTTCTAATCTCTTTATCTTCAACATTTTTTTCTGATCATCTCGTCGCATCCAACTGGTTCATCCTGTTTTCTTCTAGATAAGTCATTATTTATGGTCCTGCTCGTAAGTTTTGTCCTCTTGTTTTGAATCACCATGTTCGTCGCAGGCCTCGATTCTCATGAGGTCGAAGCCGCGACTCTTGCGTTCACGACCATCATACCCTTTCCCATGGAATCGTCCTCGAGTTCGCGGGGAATGGAGGATTTTCATTGCGACCGAAAAGAAATATGCACTGCTATGTATTAGACAAAGAGAGATAGGAGGTAGACAGACATCAAGGACATCAAAGATGGGGGTTTTCGTACAGGACTTCGTAGACGATCTCGGGGAGATGCGTGGCGACGAAGCAGCGGATCCGGGAGTAGAGAGTGGTCGCCTGGTAGCGGGGCAGGGGATGAGAGTCCGTCAATGCCGATGTCATCGCTCGGATCACCGGACTGCGGTCCTTCAACTGCACCCGAAAACGTCAAATGTGACAATTCAGAGGAGTCGTAGTATTCGAAGAATCAGACACAATGGTCGTAATTTTCTCCCCCTCGAAGTGGTACCAAAACGTACCAACAGTACCACACTAACAAAGGCTAATTCCTCAATGAGGGTAATAAGGAAACGGCAGCAGGAATCTCCAGGTCAACGCTGCTTCTCGACATAACAGAAAATACCTGCTGTAACTTAGAAACAGAGAATTTCCCTTTCCCCCCGTCCTTCTCCTCTCGCAACAGAAGCGAAGCCTCACCCCCGACCGACATAGGGACAGCTGGAGCTGGAGGGTCCGATCGAAGTCCTCCTTCCCGTAATCCGACTTCACTTCCGCGTCCATCCCCTCCCACATCTCCTCGGCGAGTTTCGTCACCCGATCTTCCGTCAGGATCTTCGTTGCTGTTAGGACCAAGAGAATTTCGATTTGGGTCCATGTCTTTAGCCGAATTATTCGTTCTGGAGTGACGGTTCCTATCTTGAATTACATCCTAAGTTAATTAATGCAATATTGCTTGTGGTTTGATTGAAAAGTGAATCTTTTAAAGCTTCCTCTAATTTTGGAATACCAAAACACATTACGTAAGCATATATATGCTGCTCCTTCATTTCTTGTGAGCAACTTTTAGTTTTTAATACGAAGTTTTAATGCAAGACTCTACTTGGAATTAATCAATTTCTTGGCCACTGTTGGCCGAAGTTGAACGCATCACATTGGTACAATTCTGGAGAATTTCCCCTTCGGCTATTACCAGCGAGGAAGTTGCCAGGCTCGACAATGCAGACATGCACGCCGAAACTCCTCATCTCGTAGCGGAGGCAGTCGGACAAGCCCTCCAGGCCGTACTTCGTCAAGGCGTAGGCTCCCCTTTGGGTCCCTCCCATGCGGCCCAGCATACTCGTCACGTTCACTACGCGACCTGCAGCGAGGGAGACAGGCCCGAGAGACCGTTTTCAATTAAGCTTATTCAATTTCAGCACAAGCGACCCTGAAGTATTAATGTAATTAAGTGATGTTGCATTCATGTAAAGTTGTACATTTGTGGAATTTCCTATCACGAAACGCAGTAATCTTGTCGTCTTGCCATCATGTTACACAAGCATGCGAAGTGGTATTGCACGTGTAATATTATAATCATGTAATCAATTGTATCATGTTTTCATTTAATGTATATTCCACTCCTGCCTTATTCCTTTCACTGGCAGTTGCAACTGCGTTAAGGTGAAATTCCTAAACAATGAAGAAGCGTTAAAAAGCGATCAATTTCGGCCCAGACTCCTTTCTCATCTGATGTCAGCTCTTTAGCGGTAAACATTAATGTTTCGGGTCAGGCAGGGAACTACGGCTGGAAAAAGAGGGGAGCAGAGGGTGTGAGGGAAAGTCTATACACCGAACTCTCTATCACGGGGAAGACATACTGCACTTCTTTACTTGTGCGGTAGTGAACGCGTGCAATGCATTAAATGTCCATGTAGTTAATGTCCCTACCATGATAAGCTATAACCTATATGCTTCAAGTGACTTTTCGACATAAATGACCTAGAAATCCACTACCGTTGCCAGATGCGTGAGGTCTTCAAGCCTATGCCTTTCCAGGCCATAGGCTAAACACAATATGATACAGGACGATGCGTACCAGAACGTCGTTTGATGCCGAAGGGTGAAAAAATGGCTTGAGGCCTTCATGAATAAAACGAAAAAGGGAGCATCGTCACTTTAAGCGACTAGGCAGTAGGTGGCGGGCCAATTGCATGATTAGCTGAACGCTTGACCTCGACATGAAATATCATAATGGCGGATGTGCCTCCTGACTTCCCTATGAAAACCATAAAACCACTTAATGGAGAACCTCACTTATTGTCAGGACTGGAAAGTTCTGCATTGCAAACATCTTAATCATCCGTTAATATCACATATTGATTATAAATGTTTCTAATGGTGAACGAAAGTGAACCTTTGGCTCGACGGACGAGGGGAAGAAAGGTCTTGATGACCCTGACCGGGCCCCAGAGGTTCACCTCGGCCACCCACTTGAAGGTGTGTAAGGGCACCCATTCCACCTTGCCGTAATTGCAAGCCCCGGCGTTGTTCACGATCCCCCAGAGTCCTAGAGGCGGCAAGTTCTCCTTGACGTAGGCCTGGGCCTTCCTGAGGTCGTCGTCGTTGGTCACATCCAATTGCAGGACGTGGATTCCCTCAACTCGGGACAATTCTTCGCTGCCTTCTCCGCCCCTGTCCTTGAAGAGACAGCCAGCGAACACCACGAAACCCTGCCGTCGGAAGCACTCCTTCATGACAGAAATTCTGTTCTCACATACTTTACTAAAACTTGAATTGGATTTTGGCACTTGGCGCACAAACCCAATCTAAAGGAAACTCTTCACTTTCATTAGCAAAAATAAGAACTCCCGTACAGACGTCGCTGAAAACGCACACTAATGACAAGATAGGAAAGATGCTGAGACTTCCGTGGATGGATTAGATCGGATGAGGAAGATACAAATAACGCGGGGAATTATGAGAAAGTCTCAATGACAAGAGCTATGCTAATCACCCAGTTCGAAGAAAAATAATCGTCCCGGAATAGTGGATTAAATTTTTCTCCATCTTCATCTAATCTCTGGGTCCAAAAGAAGTGCAGAGGCGAGAATGGAAGCCATAACACTTTCTCACTCTCGCATTTTACCTATTCTGCTATGGGATTTGGAAGCTGGTTAATCTTAATTTTTCATAAAGGGAAATATAGATTTTCCCTTCGTTTTGGTCGGAGGAGACCTACTGCAGTAAATTTATATGGAAGAAATTAATGACCTTTCCTCGAGTGATGTGCTTTGAAATACATCAAAAAGAGCTCAGAAGTACGAGAAGTCCGGTTGCTTACCAAGGAATGAAGGTGTAGGGCGAGAGTGTGACCGAAACCAGAGTCGCAGCCTGTTATTAGCACCCCTCTCCCATTCGGAGATACCTGCAATTTTCATAGTAAATTTGGAATATGTAACGGGTAACTCTTTCCGCCACGGGTATCCAGAGGGGACGGAGGCACGTCGAAAAGACGCACCTTTTGCCGGGCCTTGAGGAAGAACACAGCGAGGCAGGCGGAGGCGAGACACGCGAAGACCAACGGTGGCCACACCCCCAACAACCACAACACGGGTGAAAGGAAGGCGACGAAGATGCCCAGCAGGGTTAGCCAGGCCAGGGCCCCCTGGATTCGATCTGCGTGCTCCTCTAAAATTGCCGCCATCTCCTTTTCAAGTCAGGCTTGTCGTATTTTCGTTCTTCCCGTTCTCCTCACGCTCAAGGTCGACTTCTTCCAGATCTTGTTTATTATGCGAGCAGAGGGGAAAATCAGAATAGAAAATAACCTGTGGAACGACTTTGGGGAGCACGCTTTGCAATCAGAGAGATTCGATCTATATCTACCTTGTTTACAAAATGTAGAAGTTAGCTTTAGCCATAATGAGAAAATAGCTCTGGCTTTAGTCGGGAGTCCTACTGTTTCTCGAACCCGAATGAGAACATCATGTAATATTTGTAACCAATCTGCTAAACAAGTCATTTAAAAACATAGTCTCTGGCACCCCGATCAAGTGAGACAGGGATTTTCAGAAATCTCAACTTGAGATTTGTCAGACTGTTAAAAATTCCAGTTTCTGTGGTTCTTGGCACCTCCCAGTCAAGGACAGTGGAGCAAAAGTATGGGGAATCNAGTTGCAACTGCGTTAAGGTGAAATTCCTAAACAATGAAGAAGCGTTAAAAAGCGATCAATTTCGGCCCAGACTCCTTTCTCATCTGATGTCAGCTCTTTAGCGGTAAACATTAATGTTTCGGGTCAGGCAGGGAACTACGGCTGGAAAAAGAGGGGAGCAGAGGGTGTGAGGGAAAGTCTATACACCGAACTCTCTATCACGGGGAAGACATACTGCACTTCTTTACTTGTGCGGTAGTGAACGCGTGCAATGCATTAAATGTCCATGTAGTTAATGTCCCTACCATGATAAGCTATAACCTATATGCTTCAAGTGACTTTTCGACATAAATGACCTAGAAATCCACTACCGTTGCCAGATGCGTGAGGTCTTCAAGCCTATGCCTTTCCAGGCCATAGGCTAAACACAATATGATACAGGACGATGCGTACCAGAACGTCGTTTGATGCCGAAGGGTGAAAAAATGGCTTGAGGCCTTCATGAATAAAACGAAAAAGGGAGCATCGTCACTTTAAGCGACTAGGCAGTAGGTGGCGGGCCAATTGCATGATTAGCTGAACGCTTGACCTCGACATGAAATATCATAATGGCGGATGTGCCTCCTGACTTCCCTATGAAAACCATAAAACCACTTAATGGAGAACCTCACTTATTGTCAGGACTGGAAAGTTCTGCATTGCAAACATCTTAATCATCCGTTAATATCACATATTGATTATAAATGTTTCTAATGGTGAACGAAAGTGAACCTTTGGCTCGACGGACGAGGGGAAGAAAGGTCTTGATGATCCTGACCGGGCCCCAGAGGTTCACCTCGGCCACCCACTTGAAGGTGTGTAAGGGCACCCATTCCACCTTGCCGTAATTGCAAGCCCCGGCGTTGTTCACGATCCCCCAGAGTCCTAGAGGCGGCAAGTTCTCCTTGACGTAGGCCTGGGCCTTCCTGAGGTCGTCGTCGTTGGTCACATCCAATTGCAGGACGTGGATTCCTTCAACTCGGGACAATTCTTCGCTGCCTTCTCCGCCCCTGTCCTTGAAGAGACAGCCAGCGAACACCACGAAACCCTGCCGTCGGAAGCACTCCTTCATAACAGGAATTCTCTTTTTACGTGCTTTACTGAAACTTGAATGGGATTTTGGTACTTGGCGCACACACCCAATCTAAAGGAAACTCTTCGCTTTCATTAGCAAAAATAAGAACTCTCGTACAGACGTCGCTGAAAACGCACACTAATGACAATATAGGAAAGATGCTGAGACTTCCGCGGATGGATTAGATCGGATGAGGAAGATACAAATAACGCGGGAAATTATGAGAAAGTCTCAATGACAAGAGCTATCTTAATCACCCAGTTCCAAGAAAAATAATCGTCCCGGAATAGTGGATTAATTTTTTCTCCGACTTCATCTAATCTCTGGGTCCAAAAGAAGTGCAGAGGCGAGAATGGAAGCCATAACACTTTCTCACTCTCGCATTTTATCTATTCTACTATGGGATTTGGAAGCTGGTTAATCTTAATTTTTCGTAAAGGGAAATTTAGATTTTCCCTTCGTTTGGTCGGAGGAGACCCATTGCAGTAAATATCATATGGAAGAAATTAATGACCTTTCCTCGAGTGATGTGCTTTGAAATACATCAAAAAGAGCTCAGCAGTACGGGAAGTCCGGTTGCTTACCAAGGAATGAAGGTGTAGGGCGAGAGTGTGACCGAAACCAGAGTCGCAGCCTGTTATTAGCACCCCTCTCCCATTCGGCGACACCTGCAATTTTCATAGTAAATTTGGAATATGTAACGGGTAACTCTTTCCGCCACGGGTATCCAGAGGGGACGGAGGCACGTCGAAAAGACGCACCTTTTGCCGGGCCTTGAGGAAGAACACAGGCAGGCGGAGGCGAGACACGCGAAGACCAACGGTGGCCACACCCCCAACAACCACAACACGGGTGAAAGGAAGGCGACGAAGATGCCCAGCAGGGTTAGCCAGGCCAGGGCCCCCTGGATTCGATCTGCGTGCTCCTCTAAAATTGCCGCCATCTCCTTTTCAAGTCAGGCTTGTCGTATTTTCGTTCTTCCCGTTCTCCTCACGCTCAAGGTCGACTTCTTCCAGATCTTGTTTATTATGCGAGCAGAGGGGAAAATCAGAATAGAAAATAACCTGTGGAACGACTTTGGGGAGCACGCTTTGCAATCAGAGAGATTCGATCTATATCTACCTTGTTTACAAAATGTAGAAGTTAGCTTTAGCCATAATGAGAAAATAGCTCTGGCTTTAGTCGGGAGTCCTACTGTTTCTCGAACCCGAATGAGAACATCATGTAATATTTGTAACCAATCTGCTAAACAAGTCATTTAAAAACATAGTCTCTGGCACCCCGATCAAGTGAGACAGGGATTTTCAGAAATCTCAACTTGAGATTTGTCAGACTGTTAAAAATTCCAGTTTCTGTGGTTCTTGGCACCTCCCAGTCAAGGACAGTGGAGCAAAAGTATGGGGAATCCGAGGATTTCACTCTCTCCTCAGAGGCAAACCGGATTTGCTTCGACGAATCGATCAGACCCCTCCTTTTCCAGATTTGTGCCGGTGACAAGGACTCCACTTACACAAGTCCGATACAACTCCGATTTCGTAATAAGAAGGTCTCCCAAGAAGTCAGAAGTTTCTTGCCTCATCTCCATCTTCACGAAGTCAAGCAATGAACAACAATTTCCCTCGATATGCATCTCTGATTCACTTGCAGGGTTCTTGAATATTGCCTTAAACTATATTTCTACTTTTACTATATTCACTGGAAATGAAACCATGGGCACGGACCTTTTAACCAGTCAAATCACTGAAAATCCAGATTGTTTTGCCATTTAACCCTTTCAGACCTGACGTCCATTCCAATGGACATTGCATTTACATTGTGTCCATGGCAATTTCTTAGGATTCTCGTGTCTTTGCGCTCCATATTACGCTGCAATGGGCGCAATTATGCATGGCTCAGTTCCATGAGACCTTCTTTCACCCATTAGTTGTAATCTTCATTTATTTAATTAAATATATAATATGATATGGTACATTTATACAAAATATAAAGACCACATACAAAGCATTAAAATTTCAAGTACAATCGCGAAAGAGCTAAAAAAAAAAACAAAAAAGAATATTACTCCGATAGCGGCATTAATTCAGGTCTGAAAGGGCTAATCACCGGAAAAGAAACTTGAAGGTGTCAACGAGGTCGCCTACACATGACGGCATACGGGCCAGAGCGACTTTGAGACCCTCACGACCAGGACGGATCAGACTGACTGAGGAGGGGATCACTGTAAGGAGAAAGTCTCAATGACAAGAGCATTCCAGTTCCAGGAGGGGAAATTGATCTGAGTGTAATTGATTTATTATCTGTCTGCCTCTTTTCACTCTAATTACAATGGTTAGGGGAAATGGAGGAAAGGGAATGGGACAGAAAACTTTTTCTTCCCCATGAACAAACTTTCACATTGTAATAATTTACTGCTCCAAGGCGGTGCTATTATTACAAAAAATTAAGAAGAATCGGGTTAATGAAAATATTCAAAAACTCGATCTGCTTGCATCAGGCCTCTTCCTCGACATCTTCCATTGAGTTTCATTTCTGAAGATGGTATTTTCTTGTCGA